AATACATGCATAACTACTGGCTACCTAGCCCCGTACCGTATTCTTGTTTGGGTGTGTGCTCACATTTTGTGCATCTCATCTGACACACACCCCTGTTATTAGGGTTCGTGTAATCCCGTTAAAGGTGTGGCCAGCTACTTGCACAGAATGGCCAAAATTGTGCCGACTTGACATGGTTACATGGCAATCACTTTGCAAAAATAGTAATGCTGGAAGTCAAAACAGGCTGCAACAAGGGGAACTATAGAATTCTTTTATATACTTCAATCCAAGCTTTTCCAAAATTGTCAGGCCACTTCTGTCTTCTGTGCCCTTCAACTTTTACAATAAGCTGCAGATTACTTCAAGCTTATGCCAATGTGCATAAATGTCTCATTGTACATGCGTATTGCCAGCTCGAAGCGGCAGAACATATAAAGCCGAGCAACTAGCTATGTATTATGTTCATATCACGTTAAGGGAGCTGACTGGCTTTATTATCGGTTAAGCTCACAGAAAATGGCAATCTGTTGTTTTCAAAGTCCAGTGTCAAATATATCGCTGCTGTAATACAGCACGTATTGAGTAGTGAACAGTGCGCCGATCTCTTCCACATGTCAACGTCTGAGTTCCCACGGTCTTTGCTTCTTAAAACTTTAAGAAGTGTACCAAACGTTACAATAGATCCATACACTGTACAACTCACCTCGGCATCGCGCGACCATTGTGACATGTCTTTCTCATATTTTAGTTGATACAACATCGCATCTAGCACCACCACACTAATTCGCCCCATTGATGATGCACCTTTGAGATATAAATCAGCATAGACGGAATCCATGTTTAGGCCAGCCTTATGACAAGCAGCTCATTGTTTTGTTGTGGTTTGTAAAATAGAAATATACAATTCAACCAAAGCTGCGCTTAATTTCGTATAAATGTTAGCCTCAAATTGAGCAAGAGCAATAAAAATAATCCATGTAAGAGGCTCATGTATGAAACATAATGACCATTCGTTGCACATTTGTTTGCGCGGATTTGCAGATTTTAAGCTTTCCGGTGCAAACTTCCTAGCAGTTTGTTGCAGAATGAGCAAAATGACTATGTAATTTGCTGCTCTCAAAATAGCGTAATACTGTCATAAATGAGCCAGATCTTACTCAAGGGGCCCAGCTTGTACAACTACATGCGCAGAACACGCCTATCGCGGCAAAACTCAAAGATCATCTCGACTTAAAAGCACTTGTTTGTGCTTAGATTAACGATCATTTAACGCTATTCCGTGAGAAATGAATCCGAGATACTTGAAGCTGGCGAAAGTGCTTGTATTCAGATCGCGCACTGAGAGAAAAAATGCGCCGAATCGCCATCTTTGAGTATTACGAGCAGACATCAGCAAAGCGGCCGGCCGACGAAAGCGTCGACGTAAACTTGACTCTCCGAAATTAAAGCACGACGTGTAAGTCGGAGTGACAACTCATTACTATCAATTTCTGCTATTTACAGCCACTCATTTCCATGAATAGTTGTTACAGCAATCAAGGGCCATACACACCGCAAGGTCATTCTTAACTCGGCACTCAAAAATGCGCCGCGACGGGGCACCCCGCTACTATTTCAAATAAGAGCAAACCGAGGTGCGTCAGTTTGTGGGTACCTCAAACCACCACAATTTTCCCTTTTGAGGGTATCCCTTCCACTCAACCAGGTTTTGGTCACATCCCTGGCGAACTCATTAACCAACAAAAAAATTATATGGATGACCCCTTGCACATCTAGCACTGCCAGCGGGAGTGGATCCTTCCACGGGTGGCTCTCGTGCGCTTTCGATCGTGGCGGCATGTCGACCATCCCCGAGAGTCTTGGCATGCGGCCAATGCCAAAATGATACCGATCTAGGATATCATCCTAGGGCTTCGCATCGTACTGCATGTCTTGAAGTATCCCCAGCAGTCCATTGTCATGTCGCTACTCTGAAATAGATGGTAGTTCAGCAACAGGGGATAATAGAGACGCTGCTTCGTCTACAACAGAGCCATTCACCTCATATTGTTAAAAAAAGGATCGTGATATGACTTTGATGATCCCACGTAAGGAACACAATATACTTGCATTATGCTCGGATGGTTACGAGTATTACTTTTATATCCTTTGCTACGATAACGTAATGTTCGCTGCAGAGCGGTCAAGATTCGCTGTTATAGACCGCTGACACTGCTTGTGAAGGCAGGTTGTCTGCTTCCAATAGAACCTTAATCCCTGCTACATTCCCGTGTGGCATTTCGTCTGTCCCTGGTATTGGCTTATTGGTTTGAACATCCTGACTATTTATCATAGTGTCGCGCACCCTGAGCATGACACTGATTTATATAGAGAGAAAATTACTGTGATTGACCACGATGACATAAGAAAGTTGCCTTGACCTACAGTGTGTGCTCACAATGACCAAATTCACTTTTTGGCGCAGTCAGAGGCACCCAATATGAGGATTCCCAGACTATTTATGGAAAATAGGGTCGGACATTAAGAGGCATATGCTGCGTTATTTGACGCCAGTACTTCAGAAGACATCCTTCGCCACGCAACGAGGCATGTGCAGCAATATTCAACGCAAAGTTGATGCGTAGGAGAAATTCATCGGCAACGCATTACCTCCGTGCTAGTAGTTCAGAGGACATTTTCCACCAAGCGATTTTAGGCATTCTCTATGACGATCTGTTTGCAAGCCGTCCGCAATCAACATTTCAATATGCGGACTAATCCTTTGATCAATGTTTGCATATAATGTTTGCTGTAAGGCGCGGATCTCTAATAGATATAATTGTTAGAGACAAGCCAAGTTGAGGGAACATTTTCTTAAAAACGGCCTATCTGTATCTGTAGCAATTATGGTATCGTTGATAGCAGCGAGATGAGCCATTTGGCTTAGGCGGTCCGCAGAGACCACAGTTCTGGTATTGGCGGATGCGACTTTTGGAAGACCGAAAATAAAGTTCTACCTACGCACCGCCAATACTTTGACGGAACTGGTGGCTGGCCAAAAGTGCACGCACATGCGGCAAAAACTTAAATTGTTGACATGTTTTGCATGTACGCAGGTATGTAGTAGTTTGAAGTACTCATCGTGAGATACCACTACACTCTGAGTTTTGAGTTAGTTCTTATGTAATACAGCAAGCTTTGTTATAAGGCATGATACTACAGGCTCGCAATCAGTTACTTCGGTAATGCGGCTTCTCTACGCTTGGACTTCTTGCATCTCGAAGTCTTCCGCTACGCTGCATATGTAGCGTCTGACCCGCACGCTGTACGAACCGTCTCATCAATAGGCAACGTCACTGTCGTGACATACGATATACATAGTCGAAGAGACGCGAAAACGCATTTAAATCTACATCAATTCGATCTGGCTTACACCTTACCGCGAAGATGCATTTGATAAAAAAGACAATCGTCTTGTAGTTCTCTCACAATGAGCAATTTGGCTTTAGCTGCCTCCTTCTCGTCCATTTGTATAATGAACTTCTAGTCTAAAAGTGTCGAAGAAAATGTCGCTGTGCGCAACGAAAACGGTCTGCAGAAGTCTTATACAGATTAAAGCCAGAAGGTGCACCCGGAAATTGACGCAGGGATGCTATATTGCATGAAGCGGCTTGTCTTGAGCGGAGAAGTGCTTCTCTGTGGCTCTAAGTTGACGAGATTCTAACGTACATATTTATATATTTGTTTGAAAGTTTACAGACAGCAAGGATTGGCAGATCTGATATTGAATTATATAATCAGGACACAAATACGAGCTTCTTTCGCAAACTTTAGAGTCTATTTTTCTGCCGCGTCCCAGCATCATTTGGCATTATTTTTTTGGAATTTGGCGAGGGGTTGGTATAGTTTGCACTGTATTGTGCAAGTAGCTGGACCAGCAAAAGAGGTTTTGGCCAACCCACGATGCACTTCATCTTTGCGGACTCTACTTGTAGGTCTAGCTATTAGATATACCAATTATGAAATAAAAAAACTCAGTGGCAAGGGCGCGTTTTCTATATTGGCACACAGTCATTAAAAGTGCATATACTCGAGCATCGCCTGAAAGTATTCCATGTGATATTTTTCATCTGACCTGCTGTGCTGTGAACGGCTATTGAACAACACGGTTGCCAGATAGATGAGTGCATACACACGACATGATCTGCAAAGCTATGTCACGCGATTATCGAGCTTTGAACAATCTCTGGCATAGCCAGTCATTTCGGAGCATCCCTTTCGGAGTACTCACCTCCATGAGAGAGACATCGCTGTCTCTCATCAACAGTACATTTTAACATCCACGATCTAAATTTAGTGCAGCTGATCATGCTATTCTGCAACACATTCTTTCGAGAATTCGTGGCTTCATTTAGTCTATAATATATATTTTCTCACCAATCTTAATTCGTGCCTAGCACGGATGAAGCAGCAGTGAATATTCCTATTGTAAGGGCCTTTGTCGTGTAACGCAACATTTGTTTCCGTGAGCAGATTCATTTTCATGATGCAATCCCTCGTGTAAGGGAGCGCATTAAGATAGACAACACACGTGGTGGATCTGGCATCATCATGTCGTGATATTTATTGTACAAAGTCTAGAAATCATTTGTAGGATCCTTGAGTTAGCATTCCTCGTCCTCATACTTTGCGAGTGTCCTTAATGACGGACTCATCTATGATAAAAGACAAATTTGGCTTTCCTCCGGTATCCAGCGTACCACTTTGGCGACTTGAGAGTCCTGCAAATCTTTGTGAATACCCGCATGAGATAGTCTTTTCCAGCTCCTTAAGAGTTCTGTCAAAGGTAGTAGAACGTCCGCTATCACTAAGTTCACACGTAGATAATCTTTCTTGCAACTTCCTCTTGGAGTTTCACTACTACTGACCCGTTGCACTGAAATTATGTTTTATCAGCACCGCGTAAAATTAATTCATTTTATGAGTTTAGGCTCAAGAGTTAGCCACATCCAATGTCATCCAAGTTCTCAAGCAACACCTTATTCCAGTGTCCCCGTCGTATGACGCACGGATATTTATTCGTAGTGCATCTTCAATGTATCGACTGTTCCCTACAATTGCGTGTCGTAAGTGATAGTGTGACACTTTTAGTCTATCAAACTTTCCAGCCGCTTTTTGGACATCTTCATCGACAATCAACGACCCGCGCCGAGAGTTTTATCATTGAATTTAAGAGAGCCAACCTTCAGGGAGGCGTCCCACTGACCATGGTGTCCACACTCTAGAATCTAAGGCCCTGTTCTGTTTGCCCGCTAGGGCTTGGAGTTTCTCACTGTAGAGTAGTCGTCTGCTCTTGCATGGGAGTTCATTTCATTGTATCATTTCATATGAAAGCACTTGGGTGATGCAAGGCGCAGGTGATTTTCTGCGACATTACAACAAATTAAGCATCTTGGAGCTGCTTAGCAGCGGACAGAATTTCTTTTTTAATTTCAGTCTGGCTTATGTCCATCGCCTCTGTTGCGCTTGTATGTCTTTCAGCTTCAGTCTCACCCCTTCGTATCATGGAGGCTGTACCCCGCATTGAATCCATCGCCCACCATTTATCCAAAATAGGTAAGGTTGGCGCGGTCGGTCTCGGTGTATGTCGCAACTCTCCTTGATAAAGGTAAAAGTCACTTCCTCGGGGATAGAGTCAGAGACAATTGCGGCGATGAAAGTTCATTGCGCCTTGTCATAGTCTCCTAGCTATCGTCTTTCTTGACTGGTGGACAACAATTCGAGCGCATCATCCTCCAAAGACTGGTTGTTCGACATCAGCAACTTCTTAGCGTCTATATCTAGTCTCCACCAACCACCTGCGGAGGTGCTTCAAGTCATGTCTGACCAGCGCGTTTTCAATACTGGTGAGCGCTTCTATGCGCGCGTTCGATCCTTTTGCTACGAATTCCTTGATGCCGTCGGGATAAACGATTGGCATAAGCTTACAAGGCTAGTCTACCTGTTCCAGGGATAAAAACTCAAACATTTTATGTTCCATCCTCACAGTGATATAATTCTTTCCCGACTTAGTCCTGAGATTGATTACAAGTTCTGTCATGTGTAACGGCTTTACAGTGCAGTTTGCACAAATATAGCGTTTACTATGAGAACCTCCATAAAAAAACAGATTGGTTCGTGTGCTCCTACCAAGAAAACTCTACCGCTACAAAATGCTTAGGTAGCTCTGCTATCACCAGAGTACATCTATCTAGAATTTATAGTGCTTTGACTAGACTATATATATTTCAAGTGTATCTGATCTTACATGTTCTGAGCCTTTATAAGGCAATTTATATTATTGATGTGATACTTAAGCATATTAACAGCATTTTAGACACTTAATTAATTACACTCTTCTAACCATAATGGATTTCTGCTATTGCTTCTTGTGTCTATTCTTATTCATCTGAGTGAGCATATACTGATTCTGCCATTCCATTTCTTACTGGGTTTGTCATCTTCATAATATCTGCAATAGTATTCGTATGAACTTCAGTTGTTGAATCTTTCTCACATTGTGAATGATCAACAGTGTAATGTTTGTAATCTCCAATTTCAACGATTTGCTAGTATCATCATTCAACCAGGAATTACCAGGATGAAGAATTTTGTGAATGGGGAGACAATGTCGTTGAAAAAACATGGTCTTACGAAGTGACATGAGGACACAATATTACACTTACAGTTTACTCTACTTATACCCTCAGAGTTCCATCATCCTTATAAGTCTGTACTTCTGAATATTCACAATCATACAAATTTCGTACAATTGTATCAAACAGAAGTGTAAGGGTCGCAAAAACGTGCTGTGTGAATGTACCCCGTCACACCAGTGAAGCTTGATAGTGCCCACGTCACTATTATTCGGTAGTTTCACCGCAACGCTACGATCACTACGTGAGAGTCCTGCTTCAATTACTATTCCACCACCTTCGTAAAGACTACGAGAAACAATAATTTAGCAAGATAAGCTATGGCAACGGACGCAGAGGCAGCATTAAATGCACTTAAGAAACTGGAGGCCAACAAGACGTGTGTAAATTGTGGCAATTACAATCGCTTTGGTCACCAAAATATTTGCGAAAAGGTGCGCACGTTTGTTTGTTCAAACTGCAAGAGCGCACATCAAAGCTACAGCATGCGTGTTAAAAGTGTCAGTATGAGCAACTGGACCATGGAGGAGGTGGATGCATTGCGCGAACAGAACGGCGGTGGCAACGCTGCGGCAGCACGTATCTGGTTCTGTCGTTGGGACGATAGCCAGATGCGCAAACCTACCAAAGATGATTCATTAGACTACTACAAACAATTTATTAATCACGTTTACAACGACAAAGCCTTTTATAGTCAAGATGGCTTTCATGCGGCAACGTCTTGTAGTCCTACAGCCAATAGTAGTGGCCAATCAACAGTCTCTACCACCAATTTGCTGGACTTTGACACACCCGATCCCAAGAAATCTACGAGTGGAGGATTTGATACTTTTGGGACAAGCAGCAATGGATTTGCTAGCAGCGAATGGGGAAATTTTGCAGCACCACCAGTCTCAGTGAGCTCAATTGACGAGTTTGGTGCTTTTGCGTCGGCTCCCGCCACGACATCTTCAATTAATACCGACTTTGGTGCTGGTTTTAGTGCTTCGTCGACTGATAATGACGGGTTTGGTGCATTTACATCTGCACCACCTGTATCTAATTCAAGTTTAATCGACCCATTTGCTCTGCCAAGTGGGACGATGAAAGCACCAACAGTCTCGTTTGACCCATTTGCCCCTGCAATGACACAACAACATCAAACTCCTAAAGCAATTAATATGAATCAATCCAAAGCGATGCCAGCACGTGCAGACTTTAGTGTGTTTGATACGCTGTCGGCTCCGCCTTTAGCTTATGGGTTTCCTCAAAATCACAACAACGGCTACGGCCAGACTCGCGGTTCCCCTGGGATGGGAATGCAAATGGGTTTTGGTATGCAGCAGGGAGGCTATCACCAGCAACAACATTTTCAGCATCAGTCAACGATGGGAAATCACGCAGGTAGGAACATGAGTGCAAGTTATGTGCCACACGGAGTTACTGCAGGTGGAAATTCAAATCTTCAGTCGAAAAGTAGGGACCCATTTGCTGGTTTAGGATTGCCCCAAAATTGAGACTACACTTGAATAGTGATATCTGCGAAAGCACAGTGGATTTGTTGCTTCAAATTGAATACACAACGTTATCCTTAGCTACAGAACCTGTCAGCATTAGCAATTGTGGTAAACGAATATTTACTTGGAAATTATAGCGCAGCTCTGCCTGTTTATCTGTCTTCTTCTGCTACGCCTCTTAACGATACACAATGTGACTACGTCGACCTCCGCCGGCGACAATCACAACTTCAGTTCAAATAGTACCTGACAAAGTGAAGTTCCATCGTCCACCTGTCGAAACAAAACCCCATTGTTTAGGTTGCTGCTGCTGTAGCAACACCATTGCTGTCCGATTCAACCTTATGAGCCAAAATCGCTGGCTTCGCCTGTGGTGGTACAAGACGCTTGATAACAGCAGAGCTGACAGAGCCAAACATTGGACGAAATTGTGCGTAAAAGAAAGAAACAAATGGAACGTTCGCTAGTACTGAGTAGAAGTCATAGTGGTCCGTGTGTGACGCAATGCGACCATTCTTAAGCTCCAGAACCGAGAATACCCGCAGCACAACCTTCATAAAGCTCGGAAACGGCTTAAGACGGAAAACCTGAGAGCTATCAATGGTAAGCACCGACACACCAGCCATTGAGCCACGCACCAACGTCGCTTTGCTAGACTTGACAAACTTTGACAGCACACGAAATTGAGCTTGAATATTATCCACGCCCTTCACAGACACGAGTGGATCCGTAAAGACGGCATCAGCCGTGTAGTACTTGGCAATTGTGGCGTCGCGGTTTGTGCTTACATCGTAGAGCGATAAAACGTTTTCAGCGAGCTCTTGTGCACTACGGTTGGCCATTTCCAGTCAACTTTCGGGCCACGAGGTTGTGGGAAAAGTCGCGACTGCCGTTGTTTGTAAATGAGTAATGGCAGTCTGTCATCTTAACGCGAGAATCCCTGTGATACTTGTTACTCGGCTTGATAATGTAGAACTTTGAATTTTTTAGAACTTTTTACATGATTTTATGATATTCTATAGAAAACCGTATACAGGTCTCAGAAAAATCAGATGTACCGGCGCATCAAACGCTTATGGTTCAGTGTGACTGAGTAATGGATCCGACATTTGTATTGTATTAACTTCGCCCCTTAAAAGCGCCTGTCAGTGGTCAGCGAGATTTTTAAGCGTAGGTGGTCATTGCAAGTTTTTTTTTGCAATACATTGGGCGTGTTATATGAAAGCTGGATGAGCGAGCATATGATAAGTGAGTACTATGCTAAAAATACATTTAAGACATGCATATGGTGGTATCTCGATTTAAATTGCGTTCTCAGTGTGAAATTTAGCAATATTTTACGAGCTATTGCCTTTTGTTCGTCATGTGACCATGGACTTAGAGCCAATTTGCCTGTGAAGACGTGAACCTGGATCCTTGTTGAAAAGCGCTGCTATGTTGACTACCCACCGCTGCTTAATGGTGGAGACATATTTAGGATCAGCTTTTAGAGCATTAATTAGTATAATTTTTTGGATCAAAATGGTTATATTGTAATTTAAAAATCTATATCAGTTATATTAATTAGAGATTCCAAGACAACACACCCTGTCACATGATCGCACACGAGTACATAAACCGCAGCAGTTAACGGGGAGCATACCCAATATTACTAAGCTCACTTTAATGAAAATTACGGCGATGATAGAATTACACACTGTTAGATCTACACGTTACGTATAAATTCAATAATTATGGCTCGCAAGACGATCTACTTTCTACCATATCATACGTGGGATATGTAGGATGAAACCAGCTTCACAATTTTCGAGTCACACATGGTGCACCAATGTACCAATGTTTGTCGTCCAAATTAGGAAGCTGTATGCGTGGATGGCTTACTGTTTTGTTGTTTTTAAAATCACTGTACAATACATTTTTATCTACTACTTGTTCTTCTGTTCCGTAATTTATGGTATGTCATATACCCCATCTTGCAGTATGCCGCATTGTAGCGAGACTAACCTAAGTAAATGAGTTTGGTAGTGTCCAGGTTCTCCAAATTAGCGACACGAACGCAGTCGCTTGCGCTGGAGTCCATTGACAGCATCAAATGCGACGCGACCGCCGGAATCGGCACCAGTACAACTCAATTTCCAGCTACTCTATATATATTTGCCTTAGTTTTCGAAGCAAAGACGCGATATCTAGTTTCGATCAGGTTCTAAGATACCAATTTAGCACAATATACCAAATAAGGTCTTTACTTCGCTACTTTGTGTAACCTGATAGTGACCTGACTTATCTACACCAATAGACGACTATCATTGTGTCTGAAATCAACATGCACAACCATGACAGTAACTGTGACCGTACTCGTTATTTTTAACGCTATCCACACGCATTCAGCGGAGGGATCTCAACAGGCCCGTTAACCGCTAATCTTGAGTGTGGTTTGTCGCCGACCTGGTCGTGATACTCCTTGACTCGCGCAGAAACTTGAGCATCTTGGTTCTAATTGCCTTCTTCAGCATATCTGCAAGTTTCTTTTTCGTATCTGATCGATCTTTCGAATAATGTGGTGCCTGGTGTCTACATACTTTGTACGAGTGTTCGCCCGGAGCCCACAGTACTCTTTGTGCGTCTGGTTTCATCCGACACGCGTACTCTCACACCACAGCATATTCCATTGCTCAGTGCTGGACACGCCTACGTGGCGCTTTTCGCCATTCTGGTGACGGCACACCTTGGTTTGCTCCATTCTGCGGCAAATTGAGAAACCCTGACCATTACGTAAACGTATTGATGATTGTTGGAAGGCATTGATATTCATTAGTGCACCACTGCGACTGTTGCCAAGCACAGAGCGAAGCATCTTAGACTCAATCGCAACAATTATTCGGTCGTCTTCATCGCTTCAGCTGCGAGGTCTCCATCTGCGCAGTCTGTGCTTCAACTTCGACGAGGATCGCCATTATTTGCAAGTTACCTATTCACTCCTTTGTGGGCCGTTGATCTGTCTTGTACCACCGCTGGAGACGCCGCGGACCTTTCGTGGCCGGTGTCATAGATGACTGGTGTTGGTACGCTTATCGTGCCGTCGGAGACAGTCATTGGGCTCATAACTCGTTGCGTTGCGATAAGTGGTGTGTGCAGTAGGTGGTAAATTGATTACTGTTCATATATTCTGGTCCTTAGTTCGAAAACGTGTGATACATCTAAGTCTGCCTTCCTAGAAACTACTGCTCTCTCATACCAGGTTCACCATACTTCGCTTACGGATTGAATTAACAGCTATCCATTGACTGCCAATGACTAGCTGTTAGTGCATTAATCCTTATCGTCATATACATACATTCAAGAATGCATTAGCGTACCGTAATCTTTCAGATACTTTACCATGGTACTCCACCTGAGCTTCGCCTAAGTCATATGGACAAGAGTGAAATGTGTACAACCCAGTAATATTCCGCTTTTTTCAATAAGCTAAGGATGAGAACTAAATTTCAAGTTAAGTGGTAAGGCGTAACGCTTGCCACTGCCTTTTAAAGTGATTGCAACTGTAGTTTTGTACGAATTTTATAAATGCTTCTTGAAAGTAACTCAAAATATTGCATTACAATCAAAATATATTTTAATCAATTTTTTTGAATTCCGTGAGACTTATATGTATATTATGACAAAATGACAGCGTCGTGCTGCTTCCAGTTGCAAATTACGCGAGGTCCCCATAGCGCAAATGTGCATCGCTATTGTCATTTCGATGCTAATTCTCGCTCATCTTTCTCTGGTGATAAACTTTCAATTGGTCGGAAACGAGCTTGCTGGCTACGGTTACCTCAAGACTTAGAAGTATCGAGTGTTCACGCGGAATTTCGCAACATCAAAAGCGGGACGAGCGTCGTGATTCGAGACGTTAAGAGCACGAATGGCACGAAAGTTAATGGTAAGCAGCTACAAGCACATGAAGACTATTCACTAAGCGATGGAGATCTCATTGCTGTAGGCAAGACGAGTCTTCGCTTTGTGCAGATGGATCATGGACAATCATGTAGCGTTCAAATTGAAAAGAATTCCGTCGCTTTAACAAAAGATTTGTCTGCGTCTGGTAACATGAATGCAGCGTCATTAGCGGCCGTTAATACAGAAGTGATTGTAGTGGATGGAGACTTAATTGAAGATAGTGGAGCGAAGTTAAAAAATGTTAACGAATCATGGAAAGCTTCTGTGGATCAGCCTGATATTGAGCCCAGTCATGATAAAGCTATGGTCAAGCCGATAGTTGTATATGGTAACAGCGGTGAAAGTGAGAAGCGAAAGAAGGTGGAAACCGAGGTATTTCATGAGGATGGAGCTATGGGGGAGTCTATGTCAGAGGAAGCAACATGTACAAATTGCAAAGCGATTATTGGACAACTTGATTTGCTAGAGCAGCAGGCACATTTAAATGAATGTCTAGGTGGTCGTGTATTCATTTCTGCAGCATCGTCTGTCAAGCCTGCAAAGCCAAAACGACGACAACGAGGAAAGACAGGAGGTAAAAATGTGACAAAGAGACCGAGAAAACCCAAGGCAAGTGAGGATGGTACCAAAGCGAGAATCCCACGAAAACGAAAGCGAATACCTGACGCTGGAGAGAATATCAAACTAGCGTTGGCAATAGCAGACAAAAAAGTTATGAGTAAAGAAGAAATGACTGATGAAAAACTTGCAATGGCAAAGATGAAATTAGCACAAGTTGATGAGCAAATGGCAAAGCTGACAAAACAACGTGAAAAGTTAGTAAAAAGTCTTGATAGACTTGAAAAGATGAAGGAAAAGCTGCGCGAATCTCAAGTATTGCCACCAGCCAAAGTATCGCAGCTTTTAAATGTGAAAGCTGCATTGGATTTTATTTTTCCAAGCTGCCGTCAAGCCCGTCCATTCGATCGGCCGACAGATGACAGATCTAGCGTGGCAAAGAGATATGCTCCATCAAGATGGAATAAAATACGTGAAGGTGACGAAAAGAAGCAAGATGAAGTCGAAGCGGTGGATGCTATTTCGATGTGGGCACGTGCTTCACAGCAGCTTTTTGCTTTACAAAGTGATACGCTACTCTATCGCAATAGTGTATTGAGACCTTTTCTTGGTGCTGACGATATCGCAGATGCTGGAGCTATGACAGTAGATCAAGTCGATGATTCACTACAAAAAGACGGTGGAGAGAATGGACATGATGATGTATCAGAGGCTAAAATCATTTTGACAGAGTCATGATTGAATACTTGGTTGATATCAACAGCACAAAATTGCAATAATGGAACTTAGTATGGAAGCGAATTCGCAAAGGATCTCTGTATAATAGCGTGGTAAAGTGCACCAAATAGCTAGTGTGCTCGCAATAACAAGCGTTAATTGGACTTGAGAGAGTCTGTTTTTGGAAAAAAGTAACATTCTCTTTCGAGTTGGATAATGGTGGACATAAAAGACTTATTGCGTCTGATAATCTAGACTGCACAGATGCTTACTGCATTTATCTTTAAGCTACTGGTGCTAGCTCAAGGCTTGCGACGTTTTCAATATTCTTTGACTCGTCTAATGCCAACTTCGTTTTTGTCGTAAGTCCTGCAAATAGATCGTGAGACGAGTCGATCGCTGTTTGCTCCAACGGATCGATTTTGTCGATTTCTACAGCTTTTGAGCGTCTCGGTGATACTTTAGCGTCGCTGGTTGTTCCACTCACTTGTAAATTGTCGCTATGATGGCGTTCAATTTCAGGCATTCGCGGCTTTAGCCGATAAACGTTGTTTTTGTAACACTCATCTTTCTCCTCTTTACCCCATGTTCTACCAATTTCTTGCAATGTTTTCCTTTTTGGATTCTGGTGCTGACTCCATCGTGATACCAAACCCGACTCGCCGTCCTTGAACGTCTTTTTATCGATATCAGCAGCTCGCCTGTTTTCGTTCATCTTGTCAACAATGTACCGACCATTACTACAAAGGTCTTGCAAGTCTGCAAGCTCCAAAGGTGCTTTCTTCAATTCATTCTCGAGCTTCAAATCAACAGCACCCACTAACTTATCCATTACTGCCATAGAACATGTATCCATGTCTTTCATCCACAAATTAGTTGCTACTTCTTCACAGAATAACTCTTCAAATACTAAAAACGCGAGCGAAAAGAAGTGAAAGAATTCAGTCTCGTGCTTTATAAGCTGCCAATAGAGCGTGCATGTAACAGGAAATGGACCAGGGTTACCTACTGTGTCCATCAAGTGTAACCTCAGACTTAAAATGCGTACAACAGCTATCGCTGCCTTAACAAAGTGATAGCCACCACGACCTCGTCGCATCATTGCCGACTCAGCTGGGTACGTTTCAACAAAAAAGACAAGACAACGAAGTCCAAGTTCTCCTGTTGGATTCAGATCAATTGCTGGATTAGATGCTGAAAAACCAGCCTCTTTCCACAAGTCACTGACCAGCACAAAACCTGGCATTTGATACTTGCGACGAAAGATTGCGGTCCAATATTGCTGTAACAATTGCAGATGCTGACAAATAGAATTAAAGCTATTGAGATGAGCTTTTCGAGCGAAAGAAATTGTGACGTACCTCTGGAGATGCTACAAGGCGTTGAAATAAAGCACGCTGTATTTTAAATAGCACAAGCATTTCATTATCATTAGGTCGACGCCCTCGCTCGGCCGCACTTAGCTGTCGTCCAGATGCATTCCCCATGTACAAGAGATTTTGATTTATGAAGATTCAAGATCCGTCGCTTGATTGATATGCGTCTTTTCAAGTCAGAATAGTATCATTGATCAAAAGTATCAAAGTATGACTTTGCAGCTCGAAGTTACTGATATTTCTGTTTTATCATTGATGCTGCTTAATAATGTATTGAAGTGTTAAATATGTGCCAAACATAAGGTAGAAAACATAATTTTATTGCCAATGATAACGACGATATAAAGAGTGTGAGATGTCGCTCTATTGAAAGTGATTACTAATTGACTAATGAGGTTCATCCACTGGATACCCACGTACTTTTTGGATCTTAAGCTCAAAGTAAAGTGTCACACTTTCTTATCGAATGCTCGACAAACGTTTACGAATCTTGTTTTAGTGTCGCAATTATGGTCATTTTCACATATTGTCTTTTTTCTGTAGTATTTCGTTGTTTCTTCAAGATTAGCTAGTAACGTAATCAGCAATGTTGCAGTCGACGAATCCACAAATTTCTCCATTAGTTATAAGAAATGTTGTTAACTTGATTTGAACCGGTAATTTGTAAGTCAAAATCGGTTTCTCGAGCTGGTTCTCACGACTTCATTTCCTTGCGTACTTCGATTGTAACCTCCCCATGTGGTGACCAGACTAACATATGGTTTGGGTTACACAAGTTCAAATGGAAAGGTGCAAAATGAGAGTACATCAAATATGAGCAATCTTTTTACATCAAATAGTACTTTGAACCAACAATTTACGATTGTAGTCCTGGTTTTTACGAAACTGGTCTTCATTGGGTTACGCCATTTTTGCACATCTCTTGATTACTACACCCAACTGTCCTATTCTAAGAGTCCCCTCCCTCCCAGACAAAGTGAGAGACCCAGTTTCGCAATCAAAGTCTAAAAATCAGTCGTTGGAATTCCTGGAACTCCCATGGACAAACGTGACGCTGAACCACCGACTTCGCTACAGGCGCAGTACCATCGTCTACATCCATCACCTAGTAGCGCAACAGACACTTCGACTGAACGTACGAGCTTTAATCCATCCAAGTATTTTCATCGGAATCAAACGGTTGAGGTGCTTTCGCGTCAACCAGGACGTTCCTCAGACTTGCATATTGAACGACCTCATTCGGAGCTATTTCGTACACTTACATCAAGTCAATTACTTTCTATTCGTCAGCAACTTCTTGATGACAATGCAAGGAATATACCCACACATGGTGAGGTACTTACCCGTCAAGGTACAGCAAGTTCGTTTGTAGCAGCCGGAAATGATGGATATTTTCGTCGTTTTCAACGTAATTTACCTCGTTCATTGCGTTTTCGACAAAATACACGCTCAACAACTCGTTATATTGATCCTGCTAATGCCACGTCATTACGATCGCGTGTTAGAGCACGAAGAGAAGAGGAACAAGCTCGAAACGAGCGATTAGTGGATCAAGGCTCTCCACTTCCAAGTCCACGTGAGTTAACCGATTTTGAAAAAGAAATGGCAAATATTCAAGCGAACTCACATCCTCTAAAGACTGGAATAGCTTCAACACCTAAGAACAATCACAAATTACTCGATCGAATGAGTAGTTTAATGTCAACTGATTCACAAGGAATGCCGTCAGGATCTCAGAAACGGTACAAGATCATTAAACTTAATGATGGAAGCAATGCACCAAAGCGCGAAGTATCAGAAGACGATGAAAATGAACATGAAGAAGATGGAGAAGAGTTTTTTGTTTCAAATGAAGTGACGACATCTCAATATACATGGTGGAGTTTTGTTCCTGTGTTTCTCTACTTGACGTTTCAAAAAACAGCGAATTTATATTTTTTACTCATTGGAATCTTTCAAATTATTCCATCCATGTCACCAACGAATGGAGTTCCACTTCAATTTATGCCTTTAGCAATTGTGATCATTATTGACGCCATCTTTGCTGGTTATGAAGATCATAAACGACACAAAGCTGATGATCTTGCTAATTCAGCTAAAACGCGTGTATTTAATCGTCAATTATGTGAATTTGAACAAGTTGAGTGGCGAGAACTGAAAGTTGGTGACTTTATTAAAGTCGCGAATCATGAAATTCTTCCTGCTGATATTATGATTCTTGCTGTCATTCCAGCTGAAGGATCACGTTCAGGTGGAAATATGGGCGTTTGTTATGTCGAGACGAAAAATCTGGATGGGGAGACAAATCTTAAGTTGCGCGAAGCACCGTCATTGACACGAAATATGTTTATGAATGAGAATGAAGCGGGGTACATTCTTCAGGGGTACGTTGAAAGTGAACTTCCAAATGGTGATATTAATACGTACTCGGGTACATTATACGTTGACGAGAACCCAAATGGTGAAGGTGTACCACTTACATTAAAGAATATGCTACTTCGGGGTAGTAAATTACGTAATACCAGTTTTGTGTATGGTATGGTGGTAAATACTGGTATTGATACGAAAATCATGATGAGTTCTGGAGATGAATTTCCAGTAAAAATTTCTTCAATTGATGAAATGACAAATCGTCAAGTGATTGTTGTGGTTGTGATTTTGATTCTTATGTCATTAATTGGAGCAATTGGTGATCGTATTTGGATGGAGGATTTAATTCTGCCATTGTATCTTCATTTAGAAGATTATGACGATAGTTTAATCGAGACATTTGTTTATTTCTTTACAACATTAGCATCGATGGTTCCAATTACATTATATGTTTCAATTACGCTTGTTAAAGCATTACAAGGATATTTTATGGAAGTTGATCTTGAGATGTATGATAAAGAAAGTGGAACACCCATGAAAGTTCGAAATATGCAATTAAATGAACAATTGGGAGAGATTTCGCACATTTTTTCGGATAAAACAGGAACGTTAACATGTAATAAGATGGAATTTCGTAAATGTAGCATTGGAGGTCGAAGTTATGGAAAAGGGACAACGGCTATTGGTCTTGCTGCTCGTATGCGAAAGGATTTTCAAGGTGATCGAACTATTGATGACGAGTTGGAAGAAGAAAATGTTGATGAAATTCAACCACCAAATGTCAATTTTCGAGATCAAAGTTTATGGGTTGATCTTGAAAATAAAAAACATGGTCAAAGTCACAAGATTGAAGAATTTATGACACTTCTTGCTTTATGTCATGGTGTGATGCTCGAACGTGTAGAACCAACGGATGATGATGTTAGTCCGTCTGGTGTCTACTCTGCGTCATCTCCAGATGAATTAGCACTTGTATGTGGTGCGAAATACTTTGGATATGAATTTATTGATCGTGAACCTGGTAGTGTTTCAATTAAAAAACCGGATGGAATTGTGGATCAGTATGATATTCTTGAAGTGTTTGAATTTGATTCGAATCGAAAACGGATGTCTGTTGTAGTTCAACGACGTCAACGAGATGATGAACTTCGTCATATGTCGGAAAGTATGGAAGATGATGTGTTACTTTTAACGAAAGGAGCTGATAGTATGTTGTTTCCTCGTCTTGCTCCAATGTCGACAAACAATGTTGCGATTCGACAAAGTACTGAAAAACATCTTGAAACATTTGCACAAGATGGACTTCGTACACTTGTTGTATGTTCTAAACGAATGCGACCACAAGTATGGGAAGATTTTCATATTCAATATCGTCAAGTTTGTGCAAATTTAAGTGAAGTAGAAGCTAAATCACGTGGTGAACCAAATCGTATTGATACTTTAGAAGATCAAATGGAATCGGAATTGGAATTATTAGGTGCAACTGCTATTGAAGATCGATTACAAGATGGTGTACCAGAAGCAATGGAAGCACTTGCAAAAGCTGGTATTTCGATTTGGGTACTTACTGGAGATATGGAAGAGACTGCTATTAACATTGGATATGCATGTCGATTACTTCATAATGATATGGAACGTCATGTGATCAATGCTGGAAAATATCGTACAAAAGGATCTATTTTACGAAAACTTGACAAGATCTTTCATTCGATATATGATGCATCTGAGAATATTTCCAATGTTTCAACTATTGCACCATCAGCTTTGTCTTCATCATCTCAACAAGTGGAACATGCTTTAGTTATTGATGGTGCATCATTAACTAAAATTTTAGAAGATTCTTTACATAATCTTCATCTTTTACGTGTTTCACTTCTTTGTAAAGTTGTTATTGCTTGTCGTGTCTCTCCACAACAAAAAGCACAACTTGTGGAATTGGTGAAATTAAATGTTCCAGAATCACATACACTTTCAATTGGTGATGGAGCTAATGATGTACCAATGATTCAAAGTGCTCATATTGGTGTTGGAATTAGTGGACAAGAAGGTTTACAAGCAGTAAATAGTTCCGATTATGCATTGGCACAATTTCGATTCTTACGTCAATTGATTTTGGTTCATGGACGATGGAATTATAATCGAATTGCTGCACTTGTGGTCTATACTTTCTATAAAAATATTGTTTACAATGTCTCCATGTTTTGGTATACTTTGTGGCCTACAGCATATTCTGGTACTATGATTTATTCAGCATTGATCCAACAAGTGTTTAATCTCATTTTTACTGCTTTACCTATTGTCATTCTTTCAGCATATGATCAAGATGTTCCAAAGAAAACAGTGTTGAAATTTCCAGCTTTATATCATCCACAAGTACGTCAAAGTAGTTACTTTTCCTATCAAATGTTTTGGAAATGGATTTTTCTTGGAATTCTTGATTCTCTTGGAGTTTATTATGCGATTTTAGCTGCTGGATGGAATATTGAACGTGGTGGGAATTCAATTGAGTATCTTTCATTAGGTACATTGGGATGGACAATTCTTTGTCTTGTTGTAAATGCTCGATTTTGTTTATTAGTAAATTCATGGGAAATCTTAGAATTTTCAAGTATGGCGATAACAATCTTTTCGATTTATTCAATACAATATGTTGTTGATATTATTGATTGGTCATATGATACCGATTCATTACCATGGCAATTTGGTCGTGTACAATTTTGGCTTGGTCAAATTATTGCAATTGTTGCAATTTTATTGAAAGATTTCTTGTATGAAGGTATTCGACGTCGCTTTAGACCAGAATATATTGATTTGGTTAAAGAAACACTTGATTCTCCAACATCAATCGCACATGATGAATTAGCTGAATTGAAACCACCTCAAGTAAATTATTTGAATCCTGAATTGGCTCAAATGATTGATTATCAAGATCGTCGGGTTCATGAAACTAATTCCGATCCATCTACAATTCCTGGAAGATCGAAACATTACACTGGATTTGCCTTTGATCAACCTGCGAATCTTGTGAATCGAATTTTAATGGGTACAAACAATAATGGTCGAAAAAACAATCAACAGGACATTCGACAAACAATTTTAAATTCCGATGATCCGATTTTCTTTGAAAATCAACGGTATCAACCATTTTGTGGTTATGGTAGTTCTTTTCCAGGTTATTTACTTCCAACAGATCGTAAACGTTGGAGTGATCGATCTGGTAAATTAAGTGCTCAAACTATTCCTTTAGCTGGTCTCGAACTCAATCTTAATGTACCAGGATGTGATGCTGATGGATGGGTGTATGAAAATGATTTCGCTTTCTTTCCATCAGCACCTTCAAATGAGAATGAAGAAGATGATGAAGAAGATCAAGAACCTCGAATTAGCGAAGCACGAAGCAGTATTAGTGCTTTTCGAGCATCAAGAAAGAAGAATAAAAAGAAAAAAAGTAAAAAACCACGACCACACCATGGACTTGTACGTCGTCGCGAATGGATACTCTCGGAAGAGTACAAGACTCAAGAAGCTGCTCGAAAAGAAGAGGAAACACGTCGTCTTCGAGAGTCGAATCTTAGCATACATTCGGGTGATGGAGATGAAAATCATCTTCGACACTCGACACAATCGTCGACATGATGAAACATGTATAGGAACTTAACAATTACGTCTTTTATAAGGGAGATAACATTGGATTTTGCTGTGTTCTGAGAACATGTAAGCTTAGTTTAAATGTTTGTAGCTATAAAGTCTCAAAGCTTAATTAACATGTTGAAGAGATTCTAAGGTATTGGAAGACTGATACTTGCAGAAAAAAAGAAATGATACAAGGAGCTATAGATCAACCTCAACAGAGAATTTCAAGTCACTGCTTAAGAAGCACGTTGGTCCGATTGCTGTACCTTCAATTTAAGGTTTGATCGACTAGCTTAAAGAGTCAAACAGATAGTTGTAAGTAGAGTCACAAGACTTAGTAATTGAAAATAAACAAAGTAGCATTGAAAAAAAAGCAAAGTTTTGAGCATGGATAGATCAACACTCGACAAACTTTTGAAATGGCTCCTTATCAGCCAACTTGGAGTCATTAGCGATAGCGTTGAGTACGATGGCCAATTGCGTCTTTCGTTCTTGAATCAAATCCGGATTGTGTTTGCCGCGTAATTTGGCGCCTAAACCTGAACCAGGCAAAGCTGGAAGGTTCTTAGGACTTCCTAGCGCCACGATCAACGTTTTAAAGTCACTAAAGCGCTTTTTGAAGCTTGTCTCACTTTCGACGACGTAGAAAACGACACCATTCTCGTTAATCTCGTGATCCGTGATTTTGTATTGATCTTTCAAAGATTCTGAAGTCTCTGGCTTGACCTCCGTCTTGATCTCTTCAGCCGGTGTCTCAATCTTTTCAGCTGGTATCTCAACCACTTCAGCTGGTGTTTCAATCTCTTCAGCTTGTAATTTCTCAACCTTGGATTCGTCGGCAGGAATAGGTTTCGACTCAGCAGAGACGTCTGGTGGATTCGTAGTCGTCACATCTTCAGTTTTGGATTGTACACAGCCCATAGCGATAGTTGATTGGAAAGAGAATTTGTCAAAGTGAAGACTTGAGTTGATTGGAGTGAGATTAATAGTGAAGATTGAGATGATTCGATGAAAGTTGGGAGAGATGAAAGGACAATTACAACAGCTGGAGAATGGGACGAGTGTCTTTACATGCTCATGTTGTTACTAACGAGATAAAGAGACTTATTCTTGTAGATTTCAACAATGTGAAAGGAAATGTTTATCGATGATCAGACTGAATAGAAAAATCTTGAAAGAGATTCAAAACCACTCTATCTTACAGAACAAGATCTTGTTCACAATATTCTTTCTGAAATGAATATACAGTCGAGAGAACATGAATCTTTCAAAACATGCGTTGGACATTGTTTATCAGTCTTTCCGACATATAGCATTCTACTTGAAGTGTAAAGAAAAAGCCAATTTATTTCATATTGTTACAATATATTGGTGATGACCATCTTATCTTACAGCTGCTATTTAATCAAAATATCTTGTTCCATGTGGAATTTTCGAAAAGTGTGTGTTTCAATATGCTCAAAAACTCTTAAAAAGAATGCAACAACTAATCCCTGAAATTACGCCTAATTTCTACTTTGAAATCTCAAAATCTAGAGTTCAAACGCTGAATGAAGCTTCAATAGTGTACGCAATTCGTAATGTGCGACACTAGCACTTGGACGATCACTAGCGTGAAAACTTAAACATCTTTCAGCTAATTCTCGAATATCTTCAGGACATTTTGTTCCCAAATCTGGTTTTTCTTCACTTGTAACTTTCAATACAATCAAAGCATTTGTCACTCCATCAAATGGTTTAATACACGTTGCAAGTTCAGATAAAATCACTCCAAAGGAGTAAATATCTGCCATTTCAGTGTATCGTTCACCACGTAAAACTTCAGGTGCAATCCAAGCCATTGTTCCAATTCCTGCTGTCATTGTAGCATCAACTTGCCATTCACGACTTATTCCAAAATCACTTAATTTTGCTTCATATGATGAACTTAAAAGTACATTCTTTGACTTGAGATCACGATGGATAATTGGAGATGGAAATGAATGTAAGTAAACAATTGCTTCTAAAACATCTAAAGCAATAGAAGCTTTAGCTGGTAAGACAGAAGAATTTTGATACCAATCAAATTCTTTTGGATATAATTCTTGACGTTCATGTTGTTGTTTTAATAACATATCGAGATCTCCATTTGGCATATATTCCATCAAGACAGCCATATCTGATAACATATTCCAACTTACTCCAATAAAACGTACAATCTTGGAATGAGATAATGATGAAATGAGTTTAATCTCTTCAATAAATGCACGAAGATTTCGATCATCAGCAGCTTTTTCGGGTAAAATCTTTTTCACAACAATTGAACGATTTTGATATGATGCAAGATAAACAATTCCATATCCACCTTTTGCAATTGATCGTTCAAGATGAACTTCACTTGCAGGTACACGATATTTAATTAAAGCTGATTCCATTGCTGTACCTCCCATCATCGTCATTTTACCATTAAAAACTGAATGAAATGAATTCGAATCTTGGATTTCATGATTATGATGTTGTCCAGGTGGTGATGCTGTATCCAAGATCGTATTATTGAAAAAGTTATTACCATCTAATCGAATGGAACTTTCCTTGCTTTGTCGTACACGATATGATCGATATGCAAATGCTGCAAGTGCTGCAGCTAAGACCACAGCAAGACAAATCACAACAATTAAAACTGTTGAACTACCATTACTACTTGGAACAGGAGCTGTGACAGTACTTTTGGATAATGCATCACCATATGTACTTTCAAATAATTCATCTGAAATAACACAAATACTTGATCCCGAAACAGCTACAAGTTCAGCACCAGACGTTGAACAAGTTGTTTGAACGACATTTGCAACAAGAAGATCCAAATCTTTCATTGTTGAATAATCCGAACGTGAAATTTCAAAACTTGTAATTTCATGTGTTCCAAGATCCAATTTTGTTAAAGCCATTGGAAAAGATACACCACGAATCAATTTAATTGGATTTCCTGAGAAATTGAGAGAAGTGATACTTGATGGAAATGAATAAGCAGTTAATTGTGTAATTTCGTTGTTTGTTGCAGTGATTTGAACGACTGTAGATGGAAGACCAGTTGGTAATGATGTGATTAAGTTGAATGAAAAGTCTCTAAAAGATATAGAACGAGATTAATGAGAACTTTGTTTTAAAAAGGAGAAAGAATTAAATGTACGTACATGTAATGTAAATTCGTTGGAAATCGAACTCCATCCAAAGTTGATAAACCAGATTGAACAAGAGATAAGTACTCGATTGAATCAGGAAACGTAGCACCTTCTAATGTTGCCATTTCAAGATTGTGAATATACAAAAGCGTTAATGATGATGGAAATGTGACGTCTGTTACAGATGTAATGGGATTTCCACCAAGAAATAATTGAGTCATTGTATCTGGTAATGCCATGCCATCGAAGGATGTGATGGAATTCCAACTAACATCCAAATACATGAGAGACTCAGGAACTTCCAAATCTTTGAAACTTGTGAGTTTGTTTGATGTTAATGTCCTGCAATCAATAAATTATTGTGTTAGTATATTGTATTGAAAGAATGTCAATAGAATTTGATCGTACAATTTACTTAAAGTCGTTAAGTTCGCGACGGCCACAGACGAAATATTGTTCAATGATAAGTCACTACATGACATTATTGGTTAGTCAAATGAGCACATGATCAAATACAATAATATTGTAAGTCATACATTGTGGGTATGTTCGGAGCACTCAGGACTTTTGTAATTCCCATCGTGCTAGCCGTAAGTTCCTCCTTTTGTACGTCTATCAAGTCATGAGTACAATCGGCTTCAATAACAATAGCCATACTGTCATCCCCACTAGCCATCAGTACAATTTCTCCATCAGTTGAACAAGTAGCATGTATCGATGAAGTGAGCAATAACACAATAATTGCACGAAGGAGTCCGTCCATCGTATGTAAACGACTGTAATGATAAACAGAGAGACGAACAAAAGACAATTGGACACACGAAGAAGCAAAGAAATATTCTCTGACGATTGTAAACTTGATCAATACGTCGGGAAAGTTGTAAAAGATGTTTGTGGAGAGGAGAGGACCGTGCTCGATTTCTGGCGGATGGAAATTGTGGAATAGAATCGAGTCAGACCAGAATTGCGATTGGAGAAGAAAAAGGCGATGAACCCTTTATACTGCAAAAGTATTGACTTTCATAGTACTGACATAAAAACAAGCCAGTGTCTTTAGCGTTTGTTTACTCTCTATATTGTGACGAGGTTGAATATTTCTTTTCGAGACTGTAAAATTAAAAGTACCTGTATCTTTATATACGTTGATTGATTCAACGACAGTGAGTGCGCAAGACTAGTAGAAAGGACGTGAAGTTGTAGTAATGGTAAGTTGATACGCTTTTCTACTAATCATTAGTGCTCGATGGGTCGGAGGAACAGAAAGTGAACAAATTCTATTGTGCGGAAAAGATGACCAAGGAAAACTGTAGAAATGAATATTAGGTTTGAAAAATAATTGATGTTGTCTATTCAATAATTGTTGCTTTTCATGTAGTTATGGATAGACATTCGAGGTAACGTCTCAGAAGAGCAATAGTCGATGTGTTTGATGTGATTTTGTGCTTTTGATGAGGATTTGAAAGAAGTACGTGAAGTTTTATTGTTTTATATTAATTAACAATACAAGGTTTTTGCAAAAAAACAGGTGATTTAATATACGTTTTTCGGGGATTACAATAAAGGATCAATACCGGTATCGTCGTGCATCTGTACTGTACGACTCTCAACCTCTGTACAAGAATCTACGTTTGGACTATTCTCAGATATGACACAAGTCGTTGAAACTGTACGACGAACGTCATGAGTATCGTCCATTTTCTTCTTTCGACGACTACGCTGCATTTTTGATCCTTTTATCTGAAAATCATGACCAAATGACGATGTAGGTTTCCCAACATAATCAGCTTTATGTATACGCTGCCAACAACCGGTTTCCGGCTCATTTAAACTTCCATTCGTACCATTTTGCTTCTTTACTTCAAAGTCACGATAATCAACTACAACTTGAATAATTCCAGCCAATCCCGACTCAACATAACGCTGAGCAGTCGACGTACTATAATCACATGCTGGTGAGCTATTGACTTCAATGAGCCAAGGATTCAAGTTCGCATCTAACATAAAATCGTAACCATATAACTCACAAGTGTTACTACGATGTTGTACAAGATCCTGTACGCACTGTAAGGACTGTACGATAATCTCTTTCATGCGTGGATGAATCTGTGCGTCCCAAATAGTTGGTTTACCCATTTTTAATGATAAAAACTGTTTAAAATCATCAGAATGCCACATATTTCCTTCAACTTGCATTTTTCCATCATCCGTTGCATACACATGATGAAAATTCTGACTATACTTTTGTATAGAATTATTTGTCAAATGTACATACTGATCAGTCAGATCGTCCATTGAATATTCTTCTGACGAAAAGCGTAGGTAAGAATCAATATGACACCAAATAGTAAGAGGATCCCATTCTGTCACAAGTACCCATTGTCGAATATCAAATTTTCGTTTAAAAATTAAAAGTGGATTTTCAATATATTTTTGAGCAATCCATTGACATTCTTTGTGATTTTCAACATCCACATATTCAAATAAGTGATTCAAATCATTAAATACACGAATTCCACGGCCTCGAGACATACCAGCAGGTTTAACAATCCATGCATTTTCACTCATGTTTGTAGTAGTAAGAGAATGAGATACAGAATGTAGAAATTCTGTTCCACCATTCAAATGAAATTGTGGACATAATTTCTCAAGTTCTTGAAGAATTTGAAAGATTTGATCAAATGTTTCAATACTTACGGGAGAAACACGAGGAAGAAGATTTTCAAGACGCGCTTTTTCTTGATTAAATGCATCAATATGCAGTTTTTCAACAAATCGTTTGAGTTTCTTTTCCTCGTTTGAACGAATTGTCGAAATTTTCAACTTGGAATCAAAGGAATTTTCTTCTTCAAACACTTTCTTTTTGTAAACTAATGAAGCTCGTAAATGACCGACTTCATTCAATGAACATGTTGATAAAACTTCCCATTGTAAATCTGTTACAAGTATATCAAATCCAATGGATAAAGGATTATCCACACTTTCTTCCAACTCATCAACTTTTTGAACGGTTTGACTTTCTGGACATTTACTTTTAATCTTTTTTCGAGCTATATCAAGAATAACATCCAAAACTGCTTCATTAACTATCATTCTTTCCTTGTCAAAGTTCGGACTTTTCTCTTCTATTCCTTGTCTTGCAATGATTTTCAAAAGTCTTTCAGCAACACCATAACGAAAGTCTTGAATAAATTTCTCCATATCATTCCCATCATTTAAATCATATGCACGTGGAAACATTTCATCAATATCAACACTTTGGTGCCATATAGCATTACGAAGATTCAAAATCAATCCAACTTTTGTTGTAATAGCTGCATTTTGAGCAAAATGATTGACATATTGATGTTTCTCAAGCTTCCCTGTTCGCAAATCGTCACTTTTTAAAGTCCATTTCAAATCAAAATATGGTGATGTTCGATCAGGATTGTAAAACCATCCACGTTTTTCTAATTCTTCTCGAATGACTGGATACCATCCTGTGATTGAAAAGACTTTTTGATCCAACGCAACTCCATGACGTTTTTTCCAAGATAAGAAATCACGAGCTTCCGGTATAATTTCAGTATCACGATCTTTTAATTTACTTAATCGAGCAACCATTGCATCGACATCAATACTTGGCTTGACTTCGTTTAGACTTTCGACTACTGCAGCCTCAGCTTCTTCTTTTGCTCTCAATTGTGCTAATGTTTCAGCAGCTTCTTGCAATCGTTGCTGTGCTTCTTTTTGAATCTTTTGTTTGCGCTTTTCATTCAATAAACGAACATCTTCAACTTCTTTTTCTTTTTGTTTGCGCTGATCAATAAGTTTTTGAAGATGTTGCTGGTGTTTTCGATATAAAGCAATTCGTTGTTCTTTTGCTTTCTGTTTCTCTTCGTTTGGTTTCATACTTTTAATTCTTTCGAAAGCTGCTTCGATTATTAACGAAATGACATGTCCGACATCTTCAAAAGCATGATATTCTTTGTATACTTGATCATTATCTTTCATCTTATGTAACACCGTTTGCGTCACTTTTTTCAATGTACGTTGAAGACGTTTTCGTTCAAGTTCTTGAGTTTTTAACTCTTGTTGTTGTTTTGCTTGAATCTGTACAAGAAATGCTTGTTGTTTCTTTAACAATCGTTTTTGACGTCTTGCTTTTAACTTTCGTTCTTCTTCGTCATCTTCTTGTGGTTCATTTGAACTAATTGATTCAATACTTGGACCATCAACTTCATTGCAAGTTACAATTTGTTTCTCTCGACTTTTTGCTTTCTCTAATAAAGTGCGTGTGATCCTTTCATGACGTTTCTTCTTGCATCTTTCTTCTCGCTTGATCTTTTCTTTTTCTTTTCGCTTCTTTTCTTCCAATTCTTGAATAAAAACACGATGTTTATCTTTCTTGTGTGCTGAAGTTAATAAAGAACGAGATGATGACATTGATGTTAGATTAGAATTCGTTTGGTCTACTTCGTTTTGTTCTTCTTGATTGCATGGAAGTTTAATCAACATTGGAAGCTTGATCTCCTTCGAACTTGATGGTTTTAAAGACTTAAGAAGCTCATGAGGTTGCTTTAAACGACTTTGTTTAAGAGTTGAATACGATGTCGTTGTTTTATCTGTTAAAGAAGGCAACATTCTTCACAAAGAACACACTTGTAGTCGTGGAAAGATGAAAAGACTCATAATGCCGTTAAATGGGAAAATGAAAGACATTCCTATTTTTATCAAAAGAGATGAAAGATTTACTAGAATCTAATGCACCAAGTTATTCAGTATAAGCATCAACATGAACTCCAGCAATGGCACGACCCGATGGATCTGCAGCATTTTTAAATGCAGCATCCCATTCAATAGCTGCTGGCGTACTGCATGCAATACTTGGACCACCTGGTACAGTTTGAGCTGCTACTTCACGATGGAAATGATGTTGGAAGATACTACGGTACCAATATGCTTCCTTTGATTGTGGTGTATTGTATGGAAAGAGACGTTCAGCATGTTTCATTTGACGTTCCGAAACTGTCTTTTCAGCTAATGCTTTAAGTGAATCAATCCAACCATATCCCACTCCATCCGAGAATTGTTCTTTTTGACGCCATAGAATGTTTTCAGGCAAATACGGATGTTCCTTGTCATCAAATGCTTTGCGAATGATATACTTTTCAAACTTTTGAGCTTGAGTATTGATCATCTTTTCACGCGTATCAATATTCATAGCCAAGTCGAGGAAATCCGAATCTAGGAATGGGACACGAGCTTCTAAACCCCATGCACTTGTTGATTTATTCGCACGTAGACAATCATATTGATGTAATGATTGAAGTTTCGCCACAGTTTCTTTGTGAAAAGCCTCAGCATTTGGTGCTTTATGAAAGTACAAATATCCACCAAAGACTTCATCAGCACCTTCACCAGACAGAACCATTTTAATTCCCATTGCTTTAATCTTTCGTGACATGAGAAACATTGGAGTTGATGCACGGATTGTAGTAACATCGTACGTCTCTAAATGTTTAATCACCTCAGAAACAGCATCTAAACCTTCTTGAATCGTATACGTGTACGAGTGATGAACTGTACCAAGAAATTGTGCTACTTCTTGTGCAGCTTTAAGATCAGGAGAGTTCTCAAGACCAATTGTAAATGAATGAATCTTATTGATCCATTCACCTCCTTGAGCTACAAGTTTTTGTTTCTCTCGAACAGCAATAGATGCTACAAGTGATGAATCTAAACCACCTGAAAGTAAGACACCCCATGGAACATCGGACATCATACGACGCTTTACTGCACTTTCAAATGCTTCACGAAGTGCCATAAGATCCAAAGGAGTTTGACCAAGATGGTCAGGAGCGTACCAATTAGGTTTGTACCATGGTGTACATGTCTCGGTATCACTTGTAAAGATATGACCAGGAGGAAAGACTTCAAAACGAACACATTCTTCTTCTAATGCCTTCATTTCAGACGCAAACCAGACGCTTCCATCAGCTCCATAACCATAATACAATGGTGTTATACCCATATGATCTCTAACAGCAAGAAAGAAATCTTTTTCATGATCGTAGAGCACAAAACTGAACATACCACGTAAAAGATGAACAAACTCTGGACCAAATTCAAGGTAAAGTGGAATAATAATTTCACAATCCGATTTAGTCAAGAAGTTGTACGGCGTTTTTAAACGTGTAGCCAACTCCTTGTAATTGTAAATCTCTCCATTAACTCCACACGTAATTCTTTGCTCTGGATCGTTACTAACAAGAGGCTGTGCACCCGATTCCGGGTCGATAATAGCCAAACGTTCATGTTCAATAGCAACGCCACGATCAGGGAAGACACGCACACCATTCCAGTCTGGGCCACGATGCTGAATTTTCTTGCCAGCAGATAGTGCAGTCTGACGTAGTTCTGCTTCAGGCATCATAGAGCGAAAGATGGCGACGATTCCACACATAGTAGAGAATGTGAGGCTAGGAAGGAATGGCGGGAATCAGTTTTTGACAATAAATATTGTTGGTTGATGCAATTAACTACGATCAGTAGTACGAATTACTTAATTCTTCGACTAATTATTAAAATACTCTTAAATTAGGAAAAGTGTATTTTATATGCTCTTGTATGGGTTGTAATTTATTATCTCTAGGAATGACTTATAATTAACCACAATAAACGTCATCCATTCCATTCCCATGGCTTCGTCTTCTGCGGCACTACAACAAAGTCTAGGGGAGTCCGAAGTCTTTGATCTCGTGTGTGACTATTTGCGTACACGTCAATTCTTTAAAGCTGAACGTACATTGCGTTCTGAGCGTGAGGCGACGAGTTCTCCTCGTGTTGTGTCACCTGTAGCAACGACCAATCAACAAGATGCCCAACCTTTAGAAACGCCTTCGCTAGCATCTCGACTTGAATTTATGCTGGAGCGTAGCTATGTAACACAAGTTGTATCAGGAACAGGTCAGACAGAACCTGAGAAAATCTTTGTGCCTCGTTATGAAGTCGAGACGATGCCTAAACGTGCACGTGGGAATTTGGATGGGAATGAAGCGTTAGAAATTGATGAAGTAAATCGCAATACATTGGAGGGAGAGAATGATGACGAGTATACTATGAGTACACGTCTTGTGAGTTTTGAAGCTTGTAAGGACGATCCACATGGTTCAGCCACTATGCCTATCTATCAAACATCTACCTTCGCACAGCCGTCTGGTACGACATTTGGTGCTTATGATTACACACGATCGGGTAACCCAACACGTGCAGCATTAGAGCGTCAGATGGCAGAACTTGAGAACGGACATCGTGCATTTGCCTTTACAAGTGGCATGGCTGCATTGTCTGCTGTCTCTCGTTTAGCTCATGCTGGAGATGAAATTGTTCTGTCTGATGATTCATACGGTGGAACGTATCGGTTACTAAGTAAAGTTGCTACAAAGAATGGCATTCGTATCAAGTATGTCGATCTTTCTGGTGAAAATGGTCCTAAACTTCTATTGGCAGCACTGAGTAACAAGACAAAATTGGTCATGATGGAATCTCCAACTAATCCTATGCAACGCATTTGTGATATCAAACGTCTTGCTGAGGTTACACATACAGTTGGCGCGTTACTTTCGGTTGATAATACGATGATGAGTCCCATTTTGCAAAATCCACTAAAACTTGGCGCTGATATTGTTGTCCACTCTGCTACGAAATTTATTTGTGGACATAGTGATACAATGTCTGGTATTGTCATTGCAAAAGACCCAGAGCTATGTCGTGACATTTACTTTTATCAAAATGCAGAGGGTACAGGATTAGCACCGTTTGACTGTTGGTTGTTATTGCGTGGTGTGAAGACTATGAGTTTGCGTGTTTTAGCGGCTCAAAAGAACGCAATTAAAGTCGCGAATTTCTTAAACGATCACCCGTTGATCAAGTCAGTGCATTATACTCATTTACTTCCTGAGAACTCACTTGATCGAAAGATTCATGAATCGCAAGCTCGCGGTTCTGGTTCTGTTGTGTGTTTTCGAACTGGATCGCTTGAGTTTTCACAGCATTTACTGACTGTGACAAAGTTATTTAAGATTACGGTCAGTTTTGGAAGTGTGAATTCACTTATCTCGCTTCCGGGTGCTATGTCACACGCTAGTATTCCCGAAGAAGTGCGCAAAGCACGCGAATTTCCAGAAGATTTAGTACGTTTGTCTATCGGTGTTGAGGATGCGAAAGATCTCATCAAGGATCTCTCGGAGGCGCTGCAATCGTATGTGGCTTCTCAAGATACACAGTGAGGAAGTAATGCTACGGCACTATCAAGTGGAACTCTCTGAATTCGAGTGAAGGCTGGTGACGCCTTGCTTCATTTCATGGAGTTAGCGCATTCACAGAAATGGTTTCTAGGTCTACCGTGGACTATTAAACGATAGCTCGTCGTTGCGTCTAGAATTTCTTGGATACGTTGGATAATTGAAACCGTAACATACAACAGTATGCTGCGCATTTAAGATTCACACATAATTTGCCGTTTGTACAGATGAATTCGATCATATAATCCTTTCAAGATTTTCTTCTCGTAAGAGAGATGTCATACTTTAATTGATCTCTTCTGTCTACGCTTTTAAATACCTGAAACTGTTCTCACTACAAGCCTTTGTGTTGTTTTGAAAAGTGCTTTTAAATATCAAGGACTATGCCAGGAACGCAAAGCATCAGCTTTTCCTACTCTGTCTATGAGCGACTAAATTTCAAATATTTTCTGGTCTTACACAGCCCAGGATTCAGCAACAGTAACTTCAGGACAATTCTTCACTGAGCCTTCAATAAAAAAGCTATTTTCTTCAAGTTCAAGCTTACAATTAGCTGTTTAATTTTAGTCGCCTGTGATGCCAGAGCAACGACATCCCTCCTTGCGATGTCTCGACCACAAAGTTGATTTGCGAGAAAACATCGTTTACACATGCAAGCAATTTTCACCATTTCAGATCAGGAAGGCATCGAAACAGGTTGCTTCCTTCACCGCAAAGACGTTCAAAGCGGTCAAACATCTCTTGGCGATGTTCCAGCCCACTTACGCAACTCCTTCTGGTTCTTTGGAACCGGCCAATCTACAATGGCCTTGACCTTAGAGGGATCCGCTCGAAGGCCACAACAACTGACTGGCGCGTCTCGTGGAAACCTAGCGCGTTTCAGATCAAAGAGGTCGTGCAGTCACAGAATCATTTATTTCAGTAAACGCTGTCAGCGCTTTGTAAAAATCTTTAGCTGTCAAATGCTCAGCAAGCTCCAAACACGGATAAAGCGTTTTATATAACAGTATCTTGAACACGCGAAATAACGCCAGATACGTGCCCGGTCACGCTCACCGCTTCAGCTCAATGAGCTTTTTAGACCAGTCAAAGCAAAATGCACCAAAGAACTTTTTGAACATTTCGTACACGGTTTCTCCTGTGTGTTTTCCTTCGATGGGACTGCAATAACGTAAAGGATCTGGATTTGTAAGTGATGGTCGAGCCGGATTCGTACATAAATGTATGAAGTTGATGAATCTCAGTTGACCCATCAAACGCCTTTACATCCTTGAAGGTATCCATGATATTGTGGAATAAATAGCGCATACAACTCGTACATAATTGGTGACTCCAAATTCATTACAGTGCGACAGTTTGGGGGCGAATAAAACTTCCTTTGCCATTTGCACCGTTTCAGAGTCCATTCAGAACGGTATTCTTTGGCTCACAAAGCGAAAGCTGAATCAAACTCAATTGACCTGATAATTCTCCCCACATACATACTGCTGTATTTGTTTAGTGAAGATATAAAAAGACATTTGGTTGTCTTTCAACCAGATGCAAGGGGCCCGTTGTATTCATCTTCACCGTGCAGCAGAAGTTTTCAAATTATAACTTCGACAATATCTTTCTAGGCCGTAAAAGGTAGCGCCTGCGAGTGTGGATCGACACAAGTCCCGGCCTTGTTGCCGTGCATCATGCCAATTGGTATACCAAAGAATATATCCTACTGTTAAGCGAAGGTGTGCGATATTCCTAATATTTGATGTGGTCGGTAGTTCGTGCTACTGGCGATAGTTTTCCGGTCTGAATGGTGGTCCCTTCAAGGTCCAAGATGTAGCAATTTAAAAAGTTCTCTTGACCAAAGACAAAGACAGTATAGAACGTAAAGTCGGTGACCTTAGCTTAACTTCCTCTAAGCAAAGAGCTAAGCTACAACTTCTCCTCGTATCTGGTCTCGGTTAGCAATACCAAGTCCGTATTCCGCACTTTAAGAGAATACATTATTTATTAAATATGACATCCCGCAGAAATGAAACATGACATTTATAAGCAAAATATCTAATATAGAGAGGCCTGTATCTGTTGGATCGACGCAACTGGAAGTGATCGGATAGATTCGTGATCACGCTGGTGGCATTCTTACACGGGCTGCGACAAAGTTTTAGCCCCCCAAAATGGTGCAGACCATAAGGACAAACTGCACTGGAATTCTCGATTGTTGACGCTCCATTAAGAGATTAGAAATAGAAAGTTTCAAGGGGCGGTATGCGGACAGGTATCTTTGCAAATACAATCGAAAAGTCGCAGGTATTATTCTCAATCTGATGGCTGCGATGTATCGTGTGGCTAGTGAAACCGTTCGCCATATAACACTAGAGATTGTCAAACGGGATAACATTAAGGAATAAGATTCAAGACACATGATGGCCGGTTGATTACGTTTATGGAACGCAATCTATTCACGTCATGTCTAGATGATTAATTTGGCGACTGATGAAGTCCTATTAAATCGTGCTTATAAGTACATGAGGTATATAACCAATGTCAGATCAACTTGCGCTCCATCCAACACGGTATTGATAGACGAAATTGCGGTTTGTCTGGAAAACTCCGCGTTACACAACAGCACATACAACTGCAGTGCGTCACGATCTGCGAGATTCACTGGATTTGCCTTCATTTGTATCACAGCTGCACTAGCCGTAAAAGTTGATGGCAGCAAAGTGACGCCCATGGTAATTATCAAGGGCAAATATTCGCCACTTCAGTGTAAGCATGACATACGTGATGTATATCAAAGCAAGACCTCGGTTAACAAGGACTACTAATTGAATGGACGAGTGTATATTTCTGTGCGTTGCAGGTGAGTCTCAGGGGAAAATATCAGTGTGGGGGTGTTTGTATATACAAATTTAGGGATATGTGAAGCATAAAAATTAATCCGGCTCCATTCACGTTATAGTTTTCTTCATACGTCCAAGCTGGCGACATCGGAATTTTCAATTCACCGAGAGATAACTGTCGTCGTTAATAGAGGCTTTGAAATAAATTTAACGATATTGAGCTTACTCGCGGCTGAAATCCTCCACTCCTGTAATTTGGGTCAAAACTGGTTGGCGGAATGTCTTCATAAATTGCGATAGACATCCATTCACCAAGCTGGTTTTATGACGATTTGAAGAATGGCATATTACCAGGCAAGAAAGTTATGGACCGCAACTCATTGGAACTATGGATAACAAACCTAAGTGAATGTGTTGAAAATTTGAAATACAAATCACGAAGTTATGAATATGTTCCTTGTGGATGACGAGAATTGGAGCGCTCTTTCTAATGAAGCGCCTTTTGTTTTGGTACATTGGTATATTGCTAACAATGACGGGTCGAACTTCACGTTATAGATATAAACATTGGGAATTTTGATAAGTACCGAATTATCGATTATTGTGAAGATTTCGGAAGTTTGACAAGTGGTAAAGCTGCACACAAAAAACGAAAAAGATGTGCCATCAGACATATCTATTCAGTAGATATCTAAATAGATTCAGTGTAAACGTATTTACCCGCGAAATAAAATTACAAATTGAAAGCGATATCCAGGATGCTCTCAACTCTGCTCTTGGTAGTAGCACACAAACCAACCTCAGCAGACGAAAGGTAACCAACTGAGTGAAAACTCGATTGTATATGCTGTTCTCTTCAGAAGTTATAGATAATACGACTCATTTCCTAAAACTGCAAATCTCTCGAAGAAAAGTGAGGCTCACGGTTACAAATTTTATGTAGCTGTGGGGAGTCATAAAAAACGATCATGCAGTTACGTTAGACACGCAATTGTCGAGATTAGTCGACAATTTGTGGAGGTATTGAAGATGCTAAGAGCTGATACGATATTCGTGCGGCGACTTTGGGTAAAAATGCTGGGCTCATAAGTAATGTTTGAGAAGCTGACAGCCTGATAAAATTGTCTGGTCTTGGTAGCAAAAAAAAAAATTTGGGGCACGACATCGTTTTAGGCGTGAAATGGCTGGATCTCCATAAGTCATAGGTCGACTGGAGGGCGAAAAGTTAAATGCCGTGCACATTTTACCTGATGGAGCATTGGCGATTGATAAACCCACCTATGCCAGAAAAGAAGGCTTCTGGCGCGATGGCAATTCTGCGCTAGCTCAGTGCGGGACTTGGGCTTGTCCAAAGTTGATAGCAAAGGTCCCTCGAGCAAAGCTTGACAGGCATGAGCTGCCGTAAAATGAGGTCTCACATTGAGATGAAGAAGGGCGAGTCTATGTCAGATTGTATCTATGACGGTACGGCGAAGAGAATATATAAGCTGTTGTTGCAAATGGAAGTGTAGTGTTGTATACTAATGTATATTGTGCGAGTGAGATAGAATGACATTCACTTTCCGCGGATAACCCAGCTCTCGCTTAGCGGACGCCGCGTGGAAAATTAAATTTGCAGTGCGCGAGTGCTATATATTCGATTTTGACCGTTGACCTCGCCACAATGCGCGTTCTCGAGATATACAGGTATCAGAGTTCTGACCAACTAATGTCAAATAATCAAGTGCGCCGTAACAACGCTCTTACTCACTCATTGCGCGCGAGCCTTTGCTTGTATATAGAGCGAGAGAAGGCGTTAGAAGGACGCACTAAGAGCGCCATCTAATAATAAATTTTTCTTTTTCTCAAGAACATCCTCAACGCTTGAAATAGCAGCGGTCAGACGTTGGATTCTGAGTGCTAGCAAAAAGCGTAGCGCACTCAAATTGCGCATTATATGAGAAAGCTTTGTCGTCCATCCGTCTAGTACCTATACAAACCAGCTCCAGTTAAACAGCCTTCTGAGGGGCGTCGTTTGATGCTTAAGTTTTAAAAGTATGCATCGCGATGTGGATGCTGTTTACCTGTAGTTTTTGCTGCTAATTTAATTGTTATTTGCCTTAGACAGCTGTTACAAGTATCGAACGTACAGCAAGATTTTCTTCACTCGCTAGCCTA